TAATATCCTTCGGTTCAGTTCAGTCCCTCAGTTGTGTCCTACTTTTTTGCGTCCCCATGGACTGTAGCACACCAGGCCTTCCTGTCCATAGCCGCTCCTGGAGTTTACTCAAGCTCATGTCCATTGACTTGGTGATCATCCAACTATCTCACCCTCTGATATCCCCTTCTCTTCCTGCCTTCAATCTTTCCCAGCATCAGGGTCTTTTCCAATGAGTCAGTTCTTCGTATCAGGTGGCCAAAGTATTGGAGTTTCAACTTCAGCATCAATCCTTCTAATGACTATTCAGGACTGATTTCCTTTAGGATGGACTGGTTGGGTCTGTTTGCAGTTCAGAGGACTTTCAAGAGTGTTCTCCAACACCACAGTTCAAAAGCATCAATTCTTCAGCACTCAGCTTTCTTTATAGTCCAACTCTCACATCCACATATGACTACTGGAAAAACCATAGCCTTGACTAGACAGACCTTTGTTAGCAAAGTATTATCTCTGCTTTTTAATATGCTGTCTAGGTTGGTCGTAGCTTTTCTTCCAAGGAGCAAGTGTCTTTTTCTTTCATGGCTGTGGTCACCATCTGCAGTCATTTTGGAGCCCAGAAAAATAAAGTCTGCCACTGTTTCTACTGTTTCCCCATCTATTTGCCATGAAAGGACCAGATGCCATGATCTTAGTTTTCTGAATGTTGAGTTTTAAGCCAATTTTTCACTCTCCTCTTTCACTTTCAAGAGGTTCTTTAGTTTTTCTTTGTTTTCTGCCATAAGGGTGGTGTCATCTGCATATCTGAGGTTACTGATATTTCTTCCAGCAATCTTGATTGCCAGTTTGTGCTTCACACAGCCCAGTGTTTCTTATGATGTATTCTGCATATAAGTTAAATAATCAGGGTGACAATATACAAACCTTGACATACTCTTTTCCTGATTTGGAACCAGTCTGTTGTTCCATGTTCAGTTCTAACTGTTGCTTCCTGACCTGCATACAAATTTCTCAGGAGGCAGGTCAGGTGGTCTGGTATTCCCATCTCTTTAAGAGTTTTCCAAAATTTGTTGTGGTCCACATAGTCAAAGCCTTTGTCATAGTCAAGCAAGCAGAAGTAGATATTTTTTCTGGAACTCTCTTGCTTTTTCAGTGATCAAATGGATGTTGGCAATCTGATCTCTGGTTCCTCTGCCTTTTCTAAATCCAGATTAAATATCTGGAAGTCCTCGGTTCATGTACTGTTGAAACCTGGCTTGGTGAATTTTGAGCATTATTTTACTAGCGTGTGAGATGAGTGCAATTGTGCTGTAGTTTGAGCATTCTTTGGCATGCCTTTCTTTGGAATGGGAATGAAAGCTGACCTTTTCCAGTCCTGTGGTCACTGCTGAGTTTTCTAAATTTGCTGGCATATTGAACATAGCACTTTCACAGCATCATCTTTTAGGATTTGAAATAGCTCAACTGCAAATAGCATTTACTATCCTTAATATTATCAAATAGTATTTAATATCAAATAACATTTGATATAGCTTTTAATATAAATAGCATTTAATGTTCTTAAATGCTAAAAGTAATAATTCTAGAATTTAAATTTATTGACTGTCTCACCCATGTCAAATGCATTGACTTATTAGATTCAGTCCTTATTTCATGACATATACAAAATTTAACTCAAATTAGGTCTAGACTTAAACAGAAAAGCTAAAAATTTAACACTTCTAGAAGATATGGAGGACAATCTTCATGACCTTGGGATAAACAGTGTTTCATAGCTATGACCCAAAAGCATTACTTTTTAAAAATAAAAAAAGGGTTAAATGTATGTGATCAAATTTAAAACTACTCCTCTAGACAAGATATCATTAAGAAAATGTGTAGGCTAAGTTTATTCCTAGGTATGTTATTCTTTTTGAATCTATTTTTAACAGAACTGTTTTCTTGCTTTCCCTTTCTTACTGTTCATTATTAGTGTATAGAAGAACAACAGATTTATGTGTATATACTTGTATCCTGCAGGCTTACTTAATTCATTTATTAGTTTTAATGGCTCTTTGAGAGAGATTTTAGAGTTTTCTGTATATAGTATCATGTCATTTGCAAATAGTGACAGTTTTACTCCTTCCTTTCCAATTTGGATGCTCTTAATTTCTTTTTCTTGTCTGAATGCTATTGCTAGGCCTTTCAATACTATGTGAAAACAAAGAGATGAAAGGTCTATACTCTGAACACTGTAAAACATTGACAAAGGATGTTGAGGATAATACAAAGAAATGGAAAGATGTCCCATGTTCATGAATTTAGAGTATTGCTAAAATGTCCATACTACCCAAAGCAATATACTGGTTTAATGCAATAAAAATACCTACGACATCCTTCACAGAACTAGAACAAATAATTCTGAAATTTCTATGGAACCATGAAAGACTGTGAACAGCTAAAGTGATCTTGATGGGAAAAGAACAATGATGAAGATATTATGCTTCCTGATTTCAGCCTATAATATAGAGCGACAGTAATCTAAACAGTCTGTTACTGACACAAAAACAGACACAAAATCATTGGAACACAATAGGGAGTTCAGAAATAGACCCATATACATATAGTTAATTGATCCATGAATAGAAGGTAAAAGTATACAATGAGGAAAAGATAGTATTTTCAGTAAGTGGTGCTGGGAAAATTGAACAGCTACTTGTAAATTAACAAAATTAGAACATTTTCTTATACCATATACAAAAATAAACTTGAAATGAATCAAAGGCCCCAATTTAAGGCTAGAAACAATATTTTCTAGAAGAAAACACTGACAGTACGTTGTTTGACATAAGTCTTAGCAATATTTTTTTGGAGTTTGTCTCCTCAGGCAAGAGAAAGTATTTGCAGTAAATATGACTGATGAAGGATTTTTTCTCTAAAATATACAAATAGCTATTACAATTAAATAAGAAGAAGACAGACAAATCAACACAAAAACAAGCAAGACTTGAATAGACAGTTCAATATAGTACTTGTAAGAAAGGGCAATGTTATGGACTGAATGTTTGTAGTTGCTCCAAACTTTGTACTTTGAAGTCCTAATGCTCAATGTGATGGTTGTTGGAAATGAAAAATTTGGGAGGTAATATGATTAGTGAGGTCATGAGGGCAAGACTCTAGTCTGAAGAGGTCAGTGCCTTTATCAGAAGACATGTTAGAGAACATCCTGTCTCTCTCCCTCTCCCACTCCTGGTCCCCTCCACTGTAAGAACACCATGAGAAGTTGGCTGTTTGCAAGCCAAGAAAAGAGTCCTCACCAGAACCCAACCAGGCTGGCATCTTTATCTCAGACTTTCAGCCTCCAGAATAGTGAGAAATAAAGTATTTGTTGTTTAAGTCACCCAATCCATGGTTTTGTTATGACAACTTGAGCTGAGTAATAAGCCACTGAACCCACAAAAAGATGTTCAGCATTATTAGTCATGAAGCAAATGTGAATTAAAAACATTATTTATTACTACATACCCACTAGAATGATAAATTTTAAAGTATTGACAATCCCAACTGTTGTCAAGACTATGGAGAAACTGGATATCTCATACACTGTTGGTGTGAGTATGTATTTGACAACCACTTAGGAAAACAGTTTAACCATTTCTTATCAAGTTAAACATCTATTCTACAAACTTGAAATTTGTCTCATGGATATTTCTACAAGAAAAATAAAAATTTCTGTCCACAAAAGATTTTTACATGCTTATGGCAATTTTATTTGTAATAGTCAAATGCTGGAGACAAGCCAGAAGAATGGATAAATAAATTGTGGTATCTTTGAACAATGGAATATGTTAAGCTTTGAACAATGAAATACAACTCAGCAAAAAAATAAAATAAAATTCTGATATATGCACAACATGGATAAATACTGAGCAAAGTGTGCCAGACAGAAAATAACATATCCTATAGATTTCATTTAATCGAATTTTTTGAGTTGGTACAAGTAATCTACAATGATAGACATCAGATCAGTATTTGTTTGGGTGAGGAGTAGACTGCCTACAAAGGAGCATGAGGGGATTTTCCAGGTGATGGACATGTTTTAGAGCTTGATTGGGGTGGATTGTTACACAGATGTATTACATTTATCAAAATTCAAATTTACTCTAGACTTAAGATATGTGCAATTTATTTAGTTTATATAAATTGCCCTTCAGTAAGGCTGATCAAACAAAAACAAAGTCTGTATTATGGGTATTTGTTATATTATTCTTTGTATTTTTCTATATATTTTTTTTAACTTAATAAGGAAAAGTATTTATTTGTACCTTGCACAATTTTTGAAAGCCATTATTGCTATTCAATTTTTGGTATTTACTACAGTACTGGGTGCAAAGCTAACAAAAGAAAAGCTTACTGAATAAACGAATTACAGGATGAATGAACCAATAGTCAGTGATTTCTCGACAGCTCAAATGCCATTACAGTGACCCTTCTAGGCAGCCCCAGAGGGGTTCAGTGCAAGTCACAAACATGCTTGATCTGCTGCAAAGTACATCCATTTTTAAGAATGTAATGCTTACATGGGGCAAAACTTGGAGCTCACCATCCCAAACTATCATATGCCAGCCTACACTAATAAGGTAGGTATCAAAAACTCGAACTGCTCAGTGTTTAATTAACCAAAGGTTCCTTCTAGGTCCCTCAAAAGAAAAAAATGTGTGTGATGAGTATGTGGAACACTCATTTTTAGATGAATGAAAAGAGAGAAATCACAATCAGTACAAACTAATAACTAAACAATAGTGGAATAACAAAATGTAAATTTGACTGTTTTGGCACAGAGTAGTCCAAATGGTTTGCTCATATTTTTTTTTTGGTTTGCTCATATTTTTAAAAATCAGAACTGAAATATATGAGTCTTATAAAAGAACAGATAAAGTCGTTCTTGTAAAACAGTCCAGGGTATCGTAAAGTTCTGATCCCTGCGTTCCACTGATCAGGCCTTGTGGCCTCAGGAGAGCAGTCGGGTAGACTTGAAATAGTCCTCGGTGGAGGGTCCCTCCACTTGACAGGTTCACTCCACATCCTGGCACAAGTGCTCACTGCGGGACTTTATGTCTTGCTGTCTCCTTTTTCCTCCGGTGTTGTTTCCCAGCCTGGCTTCTTGATGTGTTCTGGTAACTGTTCTAATCTTGTCTTTGTAACTTTCATGGCAACTCCTTCAGGTAAGTTTCGCTGAATATATTCCAAGCAGACATCTGCTGTACTTCCAGTGAGATGTTCTAACTCTAAACATCTGTAAAGTGTTCTCATTTCATACTGAACTCTGTGCTTCTTGAAAATATGCACTGATTTGAGAAGAGTAAATCCCTCTATTTTCCTTGGAGGTTCATGTACTTTAATAGAGATACCAAGTTCTTTAGCAGCAAGCACTGCAAAATATTTGTAACTGTCCAATACAGCCTTATCATGGCCTTTTACTAAAACTGATAGGCGCTTATATAATGTGTCCGGTTCATCAGAAATGGTTATCGTAGGCTTGGTCAAATCCTTGGGAACATCAACGTGTAGGTTTGAAAACTGTACCCACTTCATACTGGTGCTGAGAAGAAAGCCATCGTTTTTGGCTATACTGCTCCTAGAGCTGCTTACAGAAAAATTTCTTGAACCCTGCCAGAGACGCCGGCCCAGGGCCGCAAACACTGCTCGTGCCGCCATCTTGCCGTTCCCTCTCCTCTATATTTTTTAAGAAGAATAAGTTTTCTACCAAAAGGTGACTGAATGGAAAATTCCGAGGCTACTGCCATGTACATTTTTTACTTGTTGTTCAGTTGCCCAGTTGTGTCTGACTCTTTGTGGCCCCATGGACTGCAGGACACCAGTCCTCCTTGTCCCTCACCATTTCCTGGAGTTTGCCCAAGTTCCTATTCATTGCACTGGTGATGCCATAGCCATCTCATCCTCTGATGCCCTCTTCTCCTTCTGCCCTCAGTCTTTCCCAGCATCAGGGACTTTTCCAATGAGTTGTCTGTTCGTATCAGATGACCAGGATACTGAAGGTTCAGTATAACACATCTTATTATTTATATTCTATATCCATTCCTGTTGCTTTAGGAAATTATTGTGTTTAAGGGAAGCTAATACACAATTCATTCCTTTTTTAGGACATTTATTTCTTTATTTAGGTATCTTTGAGCACATTAGTCTTTTTATTAAATTGTAGTATGATTGCTTCAAAACGTTGTGCCAGTTTTTGCTGCACAACAATGTGAATCAGCTATACATATACACATACATATACACACACACATATACACGTACACATGCACATACATATACACATACATGCACACATACACATACATATACACACATATACATATATACACACATACATATACACATACACATACACACATATATATACACATATATACACATACACATATATATGCACACATATACATATACACATACCTATACACATACATATGCACACATATACATATACACACACACACGTATACACATACACATGCATGTATACCCCTCCCTCTGGGACATCTGTCCTGCGACCACCCCGCCCCTCTCCTCTGGGTAACCACAGCGCACTGAGCTGAGCTCCCCGTGCTGTGTAACGGCGTCCCAGGAGCTATCTATTTTACACTCGGTAGTGTGTATATGTATACACAATCCTACTCTCCCAATTCATCCCACCCTCTCCTCCCCACAAATTCATTCTTGTACAATTTTGTACCCTGGACAAAATTCATTCTTCATAAAGAATTCTTGACAATTCTTTAAATCATTCATTGCCTTTGAATTTGGAGGCATCATAGACTTCTCTATTGTTTGGTTATATGGAGCTTTTTGACTTGCAGATTTCATGGATTTATATAGTTGTAGATTGTCTGAGAAATTTTCCTGAGATGCATCTAAAAACACACAAAAGTTGTATGTGTGCACTCTGGGATAATTTCTTTCCTTCTTCCCTTGAAAAAGATATTTAAAATGTTCAATTAGGTCCTGGCATGAATTCTCATTAATACCATACTCAAGGGGAGACCATCTATGGGATCGCACAGAGTCAGACACTACTTAAGCAACTTAGCAGCAGAAGCAGCAGCAGCAAGGGGAAACATGGCTGGGATTGACAGTTTCTTATCCAGCTTAAATTACAGGCCTCAGGTTTTCTTCCATCAAAGATAGGACATGGGAATCTCTTCCCTTTGCACTCATCGATCTTAGATTCCCGGATAAGTTCATTTTGTGTTTTGGTGCAAAGTTCTCAACTCTAAGTGAGAAGGTCAGTCTTATCTGGATCAAATTTGTAATGAAAGTTAGAATGAGAAAGTCATGTCATTTATTTTAGAGTAGGTGGTGGTAAGAATTGTTTCTCCTTCTGCATGAGAACCTTACCTGTCCCATTCACTGTGGTATCCCTAGCACCTAGAAGCATGTTTAATAAATGTGAATTTTACCAGTAAGGAAATAGATGCTCAGAAAGATTTAAGAGAGTTGCTTAAATTTACACACTTAGGCTTACCAAATGGCACCGTGGTAAAGAATCTGCCTGCCGACGCAGGAGACACAGGAGACATGAGTTTGATCTCTGGGTCAGGAAGATTCCCTGGAGTAGGAAATGCCAACCCACTCCAGTGCTCTTGCCTAGAAAATTCCATGGACAGAGGAGCCTGGCAGGCTCCAACCCGTGAGGTTTCTAAGAGTCTGATATGACTGAGCAACTGAGCACACATACAGTGATCCAGCAATTCCACTTCTGTGTATACACCCAAGAGAATTAGAAACAGAGTCTTAGAGAGATGTATGTACACCCGTGATAATAGCACCGTTATTCACAAAAGCCAAAGCTGTCTATTATAAGAGCAGCCCAAGTGTCCATCAGCGGGAGAATGGATAAACAAAATATGGTATAGACAGGCAAAGCAATATTATTCATCATTAAAAAGGAAGGAAATTCTGACATAGGCTACAACTTCAATAAATATCCTGCTAAGTAAAATAAGGCAATCAAAAAAGAGTAGATATTGTATGATTCCACTTATATGCAATACCTAGAATAGTCAAATTCAGACAGAGGGAAAATAGAAGAGAATGGTGGTTGTTAGGGGCTGAGGGAGGAAGGAAGGAATGGGGAGTTGCAGTTTAGTGGGTGCAGAGTTTTAGTTTTGCAAGATGAAAAGAGTTCTGGGGAAGGATGGTGGTGATGTTTGTACAACACAATGTAAATGTAATTAATACTACTGAACAGACTCACAGGAAACAAACTTACAGTTCCCAAAGGGGAATGGGTGGGAGGGGTAAATTAGGAGTTTAGGTTAACGTACACACACTGCTGTATATAAAATAGGTAACCAACAAGGACCTGCTGTGTCGCACAAGAAGCTATATTCAATAGCTTATAATAAGCCATAATGGCAAGTGATTTAAAAAAACACATATATACATACACATGTACATATAACTAGGTCATTCTGTCATATACCTGAAACTAACATAATATTGTAAATCAACTCTACATTAATAATAAAAAAATACTCAATCGTACACTTAAAATGGTTATGGTAAATTTTGTTATATTATGTGTTTCACCACAAATGAAAAGTCACACAGCTAAAACAAGACAGATTGATAGACCCTAAACCCAGGTTTCATTGATTCCAAATTCACAATGATTTTCTTTATAGTCATCTGCCATTTTGGGTGCCATTCAGCAAGTTTCGCCCTAGCTGATTTGATATGAAGAAGAGCATGAATTTGAAGGTTTAATACCATGACTTCAAAGCTGTGTGGATAGCTCTGCCACTCATCCAAAGGAGCTCTCCTAACTTGTTGATGTCACCTGACATTTCACCATTTTAGTGATACTCGGCCTCAGTCTCAGGCTAGACTCTCCAGGGGAGATTCATTGGAGTCTCCAGGGGAGATTTAAAAAGTCTTGATGCCTGGCTTCTGCCTCCCATGTATTCTGATATTATCAGATAAGAGTATGGCCTGAGCATCAGAACTCTAAAAGCTCCAGGTCCTGATGCAGCAAAGGTTGAGAAGGACCACTGTTACCAGACGTGATGTCTTGCTTCCTTGTAGGATAGAGTCCCCCTGTACCGCAGGATTCTGAATGTTTCTCAGATGCTGAGTACTTGAGCCAAAATGTAGGCTTGGGTGTCTTAGCCTCAGCTCTGGAGGAAAGTTTATCAGATTCTTTCCTGAACTTTGAGAGGGAGAAGTCCCCAAATGAGCATGGCATGGTTCCTCACTCACAGAATTATTTGAGGAATGGGTGAGATAATTCTTCCAAAACACAATACTCAGCAAAGCCTGAAAATGCCACCAGTTTTACCACAGTGTGACATATATTGCTCTGAGTTTCTAAAGGTCAAGAGTGGGAGGGAGAGAGGAAGAGATAATGTTGAAGAGAGGGATGTGTGTGTGTGTGTGTGTGTGTGTGTGTGTGAAAATGGAGAAAATAGAGCAAGAGAGAATGGTCAAACTACCAAAAAAAGATGGGAACTGGGGACAATTTTTTTACTTTCTAAGCATAATACTTAAAATCACTGCAGATGGTGATTGCAGCCATGAAATTAAAAGACACTTGCTTTTTGGAAGAAAAGCTATGACAAACCTAGACAGCATATAAAAAAGCAGAGACATTACTTTGCCAACAAGGGAAGTTGCTCAGTCGTGTCCGACTCTTTGCGACCCCATGGGCTGTAGCCTACCAGTTTCCTCCGTCCATGGAATTTGCCAGGCAAGAGTACTGGCGTGGGTTGCCATTCCCTTCCTCAGGGGTCTTTCTGACCCAGGGATCAAACCCGGGTCTCCCGCGTCACAGGCAGATGTTTTACCATCTGAGCCACCAGGGAGGCCATATAGGTCTGTCTAATTGGACCTATGGTTTTTCCAGTAGTCATGTATGGATGTGAGAGTTGGACTGTAAAGAAAGCTCAGTGCCGGAGAATTGATGATTTTGAACTGTGGTGTTGGAGAAGACTCTTTTGGACTGCAAGGAGGTCAAACCAGCCCATCCTAAAGGAAATCAGTCCTGAATATTCATTTGAAGAACTAACGCTGAAGCTGAAGCTCCAATACTTTGGCCACCTGATATGAAGAATTGACTTGTTGGAAAAGAGCCTGATACTGGGAAAGCTTGAAGGCAGGAGGAGAAGGGGACAACAGAGGATGAGATGGTTGGATAGCATTACCGACTTGATGGACATGAGTTTGAGCAAGCTCTGGGAGTTGGTGATGGACAGGGAGGTCTGGTGTGCTGCAGTCCATGGGTTGCAAAGAGTCAGACACGACTGAGCGACTGAACTGAACTGAAGCTTAACACCAGATGGAAAGAGACCAAAGAGCAGAGATTTCAAGCATCCTCAGAAGGGAGAGGGCTCTTCCACCCAGGGATGATGAGAACCTTGGCAGAAGACATGGAGAGAAGAAAAAAGAACAAGCCTTGGATTCAACCAGGAGGAAAGAAACTTCAGAGAAAAGACTTTGAGGCTAGTACTTTCAGTATTTATTTACTTATGCTCCTACATGAAAAGTTAAATTTGGAGGGAAAGCATATTTGAATGTATATTCTTAATCATTTTTATAAAGGAGAAAACTTCTCTTTGATCTGCACATAGCAGTTACAGGGAATGGAGTCTGCCTTGTAATGAATCTCAATTCACCACCACATCTGGACTTGAGTCCAGATGGACTTGAGT